GTGGGGCCGGCAGCGTGCTGGCGGTGGTCTTCTGGGCGGCACGGCGGCAGCGGCAGGTCTTCCCAGGTGGTGGGGGTGAGCAGTTCCCGGGAGGTGTGGGTGAGCAATCCGTCTCTCCGTGCGGCCGGTGGGTTAAAGCCCGTGGCTCCTCCTCCTCCGCATGCCTCCCCCTGAGCAGCACAGCTCTCACCTGCGCTGGAGGGGGGGGGCAGAGCAGGGCGCGCCGAGTGCGTGCCGGCCAGGTGGTGCCACTTGGTGCAGGCGGCCAGCAGCGTCCCAGGCATCGGGCACACACACATTTGCTCTATAAGACGCACAGACATTTTCCCTTTTGAGGGGGAAAAAAGTGCGTCTTATAGAGTGAAAAATACGGTACACCGATAACAAAAGATGAATACAAGTCACATTTGACTTCTGCAATTACAAGAGCCGCTCCAGGTGGTTACCATCAGTGGCGTTTATGATTATGGCGAACTTGTTGCTGTGCAAGACCTCCCGGATCTTGCCTTGTATACATCACACACAGTACCATGTGTCTCAAACCTATCATGAATACATAGAAACATAGAAACAGAGTGAGTCAGAAGGGGCCTCCCAGGCCATCTAGTCTGAACTCCGGCACCAGCCGGCTCCACTCACGACATGCCCACCATGTGCATGTCCAGCCTGTCTTTGAACACCCTCACTGATGGGGCCTCAACGACCTCTCGTGGAAGCCCATTCCACACCCTCGGGGTCCTAACTGTCAGGAAGTGCTTCCTGGCATCTAAATGGAACCTTGGTTCCCTGAGCTTTGCTCCGTTGGAGCCTCCTGCCTTCCTCTGCAGGGAAGAACAAGTCTCTACCCGACTCCATGTGACATCCCCTCACATACCTGTATGTTGCCAACATATCCCCTCTGAGTCTCCTCTTCTCCAGGCTGAAGAGACCCAGTTCCCTGCAATTGTTAGGTGTGTTGGAGATTCTGTTGCGTACTCATGCCTCCATTGTCATTGTACTTTCACAATACTCTCAAATTTCAAATACCACTTCAAAATGGTCTTGTGCTCCTCAAATGACAACTGTGCTTCCACCATTTTCCTTGACTGTCCTGCCTGTCATATGGTGACACTAGCATTCATTTGATTAACATCATCTTTTGAGTGAACATCATACTACCCTTTGCAACCATAATTCAATTCAACATCAAAAAGTAATGCATAGATAACATCTCTTAAAATGTGCATACGGTTTTGGGGGGTTTTTTTGTGGCACCACCAATATATAGGTACCAATTTTTCTGTTTTATACTGTTACCAGCAAACCAGATAGTTGCATTAGAGGTTAGATCAAGAAAGTAGCACAGAAGGAAATAAGCAACCAGCCCTTTTCAACTACATAGTAACAAATAAAAGGACACATCATGAGATCTGATCAGGGATTTCCTGCATCTCATCTAGTTTTGGCCCTTGGTGACTTCCCCATAGTAAAAAAGGTTCACATAAGTCTTAACAGCCAGATGCCTTGCCTTCTCTGAACATCCTGATATTGCTAGCTTGACAATTAATGCAGCAGTGCTGTCACAACACAGTGGGTAACCAAATGCAAAAAACTGCTGGCCTTGCCCCATGGGAACTTTCCTTCCTCAGGAACCCAAATATGTGTTTTCTTCTAAATCCTACCTGTAGAGGGGAGCAATAGACAAGGAAGAATTTTGAATTGCAAAGCAGTGGGAGCAGAAAGAGCACCCCCTCTTCCTTCCTTCTGTTGCCTTCCATTTTACTCCAAACTTGTTCCCTGAAGCTGCTTTCCTGTGGGAAAAAGACTGATGCATGTAGTTAGCCTATGTAGTTAGCCTCTGGGAAATAGTCCCAAGAAAACACTGTTTGCATGATCATGGAACCAGTTCTTATTATAAGAAAACATGATTATCTGAAGGATTGGTTTTATCTTGCACTGTAGCTCCAAGAGCCTCTCATGATTGATGGTGTTACAGTGATGATAAAAGGGCAGCTTTGAATAATTGCAGTAGGTAGCAAAACAGGGCTAGAATGTAGAGTATGTTTTGTTATTTTAGAGGCAGACAGTCATAAGGTTACTTAGATGCATACTGCATGAAGTATTGATACCTATGAGGCTGGCTGTAATTCCCTTTTTTAATCAAAGTGAAAAGATAGAACAGAAATTTTGATTCTAGTGGATGGCCCTCAATTTTAATTTGACTTAATGCAGAAGCAACTGTACAGATACAGAGTTTTCTTCCATAGATTGTAGCCAGCTGTCTGCAGTTTCTTTTAGCCATATAAAAGCTTTTCTGGTAAATAAATTATAATTAAATACATAAAGCGAAATAGGCTGCTCCAGCAAAATATTGACTCACAATGATCCATCTTTATGGGTCAATCTTTTAAATTCCACAGTATACTTGTGGAACTTTGTGCATTAAGAAATGTGTCACTGTAGACCTCTAAATGTGGATATACCATATGATAATTTCGACAGTCCAGTGATGCCTTGTCAAGAAGGCCTTGTGGACATTTAAGAAAGCTAGAGGTTTTAAGATAACATTAGAGTTGATACCTGAATTTTATCAAATGGCTTAATACAACCATTTCATCAGGAGCTCTACCTAAATGTTCATATTTAACTTCTCATGTTAGCACTAACCATGTTGGTGAAACTACGGTCAGCTGCATTCCCACTCACCACTCTTCCACTCAGCAAAAGTGAGCCAAGCAGCTTCCTCGTCTTTGTGGCCTCTGTGCTTGCATGCAGGCTTACTTTGGAAATCTTTTGTACCTGAGGATCTTATTTTTGGTGGGAACTCAATTCAAGTAATGCAAAGGTTGCATTAAATTAGTTGCTGTAAAAAGTCACTATTACAAATGAGAAAAGTAAAATCAGTATTCCATATCCTCTGGAAACTTGATTGTTATTGTTGTATTACCATTTATGACCCACCTTTCTTCCTCTTGGAAGTAACTCAAGGTGGTTTACATGATTCTCCTCTCCATGTGGGGCATAGAACACAGATCTGCCAAGATCTAGTTGAGTACTCTAACCATTGTGACACATTGGTTCTCTAATCATTACAGTCACACTGGCTGATTTCTTCTCCATCCAAAGATACTTCTCCCAGCCTTTATTACTCTTCTTCATGGAATGTTCTTCAATAAGATGAAAATTATTCTAGAACATGGGGACCCCATCCCTTACAAGTCATGTGAAGTTGCTAGTCCTAAGAGAAGAACCATGATACTAGAAAATACCTAATAAGATGTGGTTACAGGAACTTTATAGGGTCAACATTTGTGTCTGAAAGGACCATCCCAGTCTAGAAGGGCCATCATTCCAGTCAGCATAGTCTCAATGAGAAAAGCTACACTAAAGCAATTTAAAGATCCCAGCAAAAACAAGAGAACACATAGGGAGAAAATGATTCAGCTTTGTAAAGGGAGAAATCTTGTAAAGGGAGAAAGTATATTGTGTTGTAATGAGATCGGCCACAAATTATTCTCAGAATAGGCAGATTAGAAGTATGAGGCCTCAGTACTTCCTTCTAGTCAAAAGTCACCCATGCCCTAGGTAGACAATAGATCGCCAGATGTTTTGGACTTCAGCTCCCAGAAGTCCCTGTCGGCATGGTCAGTAGTTAGGAATGTTGGAAGTGAAAAATGCCTAGTGAAAAATGTAGAGAGGGAGGATGGGGAGGCAACAATTTCCTCTGCTGGTTCTCCTGCCCTGCATAAAATATAAGCATAAGCCTCTGAATTTGGGGGCTTATGATCATTAAGGACACAACTCTCTCAACAGGATTGGTATCAAACTAGACTTTATGCAATATATTTAGGTTATGCCTTTTGAGGATTTAGGGAGATAAGAGCCAAACATTCTGCACTGAGCCTACAAAGATTGCTCCCAGTTGATATGGAAACCACTTCAAACATTTTACAGAAAGAAATAGCTTGACATGGTTAAAAAGATCTGTGTGCTCCCACCTACATTATTGTTTTGGTGGCAATTTGGGTTGGACCAACCTGAAAAATGCTGCCTGGAAAAAGTATCCAGCATTAGAGAAGAGGTTTGAGAAAGAAAATTAATGTTTTGAAAGTTATTATAGTAGACTTCTAAACTTTTTCTAGCAATTAAAGTACTGGTGAGATTTTGGTTGAGTGCACTGTTGAGTAATTTTCACCACCATCCAAGGCTGTTTGAATCTTGTGGACATAGTAGCTTTGTTTCTCTTACCAGCTCCTGATCATCCAAAGACCATACAGGATATTCACATGTAAATAACTTACACTTTAAGAAGTCTGTGTATTCTTGTACATGCCTGGTTTATATATAGGCCAGAGGGCTTTCACTCTGAATTGGAGTTACAATCCATCCAACCAATGCAAATGTTTGAAAGGACTATATAATATTGGACCTGTGAAAATCACTGAAAGCAAACACAACAAAGTCTTGAAACAGAGTCTTGATTGTATTACCAACTTTCCAGTGCTTACCTTTATGAAATACACCTTTCTGATCTTGGTTAGCAATTGTTCAGCCACTATTTTATCATGCTATATCTGGATCAAGGAAGTAGCTAAAGCCAAGGAATTAAATTCTTGAAGTATTTACACTTGATCTTAGCCAAAAGGCCAGGGTGGTGTAGTGGTTAAGAACATGGGACTGGGACTCAGACGATCTGGGTTCTAGTCCCCGCTCAGCCATGGAGCCAACTGGGTGACTTTGGGCCAGTCACAGACTCTCAGCCCAACCTACCTCACAGGGTTGTTGTTGGGGTAAGATGGAGGAGGAGATGTAAGCTGCCTTGAGTCCTTTGTAGGAAAAAGGCAGGATATAAATTGAAAAATAAATAAGTAAAATAAGTATTTAGTTCTTGCCACAGAGTGCCTGGAGGCCTTATCTTAGTTAACATAGAGATAGTAGGCTGCATGCTATAGAGGCAAGAGATGGGGAGTAATTTTCCTGCACTAACTTCTCTTCTTCTTTTCCTCATCTGTCTTTTCTAGGCAGGACAGGGCTGTTTGCTGATCTTTTGCCCAGTTTTGCTGTGGAGATTATGCCAGGTACTCTGTCATCTAACACTTTTATTTATCTATCCATTCTTTTGTTCCTTTATCTCTCTACCACCCCACAGCATCTTTTGCAATAATATATGCCTTGTTTGCAAACATGAGTTCTCTTCCTTGTCTCTCCTATAACTGCTTGCAACTGACAATAAGAGAGTGCAGTAAGGGCTTTAGCAAGTGGTATTGGGGATACAAAGAAAACAGTTTGATTATCTGATTGATTTTTTTTAAAACCTGCCTTTTAAAGTAATCATTCTCTAGGTGGCAAACAGCAAGTTTTCAAAGCACATTAAAACCATGATTTAAACAATAAGAATAAAAATCACCATTAACAATTAAAACTAGATAGCACCATATCATTCAATAACATCCTAACTCAATTATAGGTTAGGGAAAATAGTTAAATGTGTTAGGTTTGCTTGCATGCAGACTCTCTCCACATTAGGTATGCTGGTGAGAAATGATACAAGTTTTAGGCCAAAACATCTGGCCTCAAGGTGCATGCACCTGATTTAGGCTTTTAAACCACTGGCAGTTAAAATTGGCTACACAACAAATATACTGCCCATCAGGCAACTGATACAATAAAGATATAATTATGCACTGCCTAGCACTTACCAGTTCAAGTGGCCACATTTTATACTAGTTGAAATTTCCAGGCCATGATTAAAAGCAGTTCACATAAGTGTGCATTAGGACAATCCAGCCTACTTTTACTGGAGTGTGGATAACTGAAGCAAGATCTGATCTTCCAGATAGACTGGCATGACAATTGCAACTCTTAAGCTGGTAGAAAACACTCCTAGCCACTACAGCCTTCCCCAGTTAGTACTGCGTTAGCACATGCTTGGGCTTTCAAGGAGAATACCCACTTAGAAACAAGCCTCCATTCAGGTAGTCAGTTTCCCTACCCACAGTACTTGAATCTTTGCTTAATTCAATTTCCGTTTGTTTTCCTCCATCTTAAGTCCACCTGCAGACACTGGTTCAACAGTTTCACAGCCTTTCTGGAATGAGTAGATGAAATTAAGAGTTATTTATGTTGATCATATGACTTACTGATAGCTTATACATTCTACTTATAAAAAATAGCTGCTGTTTATCTTGGAAAACTATTTTCTTTAAGACTTACAAAGTCACGGGGTGTTACATGGCTATGCCTTGTCAATTAGAAATAGATAGTTTCTAATCAAAGAACTACATTGCTTTTTATCAGATAAATTTTAAATATGATTCCAGTCTTACTGAATTCTTGAACTATATTTGAAATGCAGGTGACGTTCAGGTGACCATCTGAACCAGCATTCTCCTACTCCCATCATTCACAACCAGCATAACCATAGCTGTGCTAACTGGAGATGATGGGAATTATAGTCCAATAGACCAGGTAGGCATGAGGTTGTGGAAGGCTGGTTTAGATGATTTTCTGAACAACTTGCAGTAAAACATCAACTCTAAGGGAGTAGAGGGCAAACTTCAGTTTTGTCATAGTTTGTTCTAACTAGCTACCATCAGAATAAGCTGCAGCAGGGAAAAAAATCTTCTTTTCTTATGCATGCAGGAGGAGCCATGCCTGAGAATCATATATCTCACTTGATAAGTATCTAAACTATGGTTTAGGATGATTATAATGGGCTGTTATTTTAACAAGTTGTAAACTGTTTTGTTCTTTGATACAATTGATCAGAGTATTTGTTTAAGAATAGTTAAAAATTAAAAAAAAACTTACAGTAACAATGCAAAGAAAACTTCCAGATGTAACTTTTATGGAAACCAAGTTTCCATAAAAGTCCTACATAGTTTTATCTTCCTTCACCAAACTGGATAAGACTACTTAGTTTTAGAAACTTCAGTAAAGTTCATATTTCCCATAGGCACTGCCTTCATGTTGGAATTAATTATTCTATTTTTATGTTACTAAAATTTTGTCAGAAATCTACAACGTATATGTTTGTTCTTTACTACACTGGCTTTCCAAATATTCCAATACGATCACTTTGTGATCCAGTGGTATATCACACCTGAACATAAATTATGGCAAAAACAAGAATAAAAGTTCCTTTCAATACTTTCAGAGCCTTTTCTTGACAGCAGTTCTATATACAGGGAGCCTTATGACTAATGGGGTGGGATAAAAATTAAATAAATAATGCAAACAACTGATGGAGAAGATTTTTTCCCAGCTGACTTGTTTTGTTTTCATACAGAATTAGAACATGTGTAAACTTTGTACACACATTTTGTTTTTTCATCATGCAGACAGACTGCGTATGTGGTCTGGTATGCATACATGGGTGTACATGCACGCTCAGTAAAGCTGATCCAAACCACACACAGATATCAGGGAGAGAACTGCTTCCTTTTCCATGGATTGATTATATGCAGAATTGATGTCTGGCTTCTGAATATCTTCCTAGTCCAAATATCAGCATTCCCCAACCTAGTGCGTACCAGGCACTGAACTGCAACCCGTATCATCACCAGCCAGCACACTCTGTCCTGTAATTGAAATAATATTATATTTCTCCCCTGCTTATCCATGCCTCCATTCCTACCCCTACCCACTGCCTGATTGTTTTCTGTGTCTTAATAAATGCCTTTGGGAAGGGGAGCTGCCATCTGTTTCTTTTGGAAAGAAGATGTACTGTACATAGCACCATATATATGTGTGTATATATACAATGAGGTAATAGGACTCAATAGTGTTCTAATGTTTCAATCTTACAGGTGCTTGCTTAGAGATGCTAAGATGATTTTCATCAAGTATAGTACAAGATGACCCCCACTTTTAGATGGTGAAAGGGTTTGAAAATGTCAGAGAAGTTGAGAACCATGCCACCAGGAGACCAGACTCTCTCACTAGGCTGGCCTTCTAAGCAGATCACTGAAGGCAGAATGGTCAAAACAGACACCAGACTGAGGTGTATCCACCCTCTTCAGGAGGAATGGCCACATCAGCAGAAAAGAATGGATATCTCTAATGAAGATGGGGTGGAGAAACTCCTGAAGGGCAGCTATTGGGCAGCTGTAGTAGTTCTAAATGACACTTGCGGAGGATCTTTCACAGACAAAACCTGTGATGTTCAGGTTAACACTGGTTAGCTTTGCACAGAAGACAATGGTAAACCTCTTCTAAATTTTCTTACCTTGAAAACTCTATGATGAAACAATACAAAATAAATCAAAAGATAGAGCAAGCAGATGAGACTCCTGGGTCAGAAGACACTCAACTAGCTACTGAGGAAGAATAGAGGACTAGCATGAACAGTACTGTCACAAATTATGCAACTAATTCAAAGCAGAAAGAAGCCCACTAGTTCACATTCACAGAGCTAAAAGGAAAGTCTGATGCACAATTGGAACATAAGAAGGATGAATCAAGCCAAACTGGAAACTAAAGTAAGAAATGGAACAGTCAAGCATCACAGTACTTGGTGAGGATGGACTAAAGTGGACTGGAATGGGATATTTTCAGTCAGACAAATTTGAATTTTTTTACTACGAAAATGACAATTCAGAAAAAATGGAGTGGCTCTAATACTGAGAGATGATGTAGCACAGGCAATAAAGGATTATAATGCAAAGCTTGACCAAATCATACCAGTCAGAATTCCTGGAAAACCTATCAGCATAACCACCATTCAGATCTATGTTCCAACAACCAATGCTGAAGAAGAAATCAAAAACTTTAATGTAAGTGTGCAAAAGGAAATTGATAACACACCAAAATAAGACATGCTGATAACCATAGGTGTCCAGAATGCAAAAGTAGGAAAGAAGGCAGAAATATACACGTGTATTTTATCTTCCTGTCTGTTCAATCTGTACAGAACTTATCATAAGGAAAGCTGGATTAAGATCAAGGGAAACAATCTGAAGAAAACAGAGACGTGGAAGCTTATCAGTGAAGAACTAGAAAAGATCAAGAGTAAAGATGTTTGACTGCATACCTGAGTCAAGATCATCCATACTATTGTATTACTGATCACTATGTATGGGCATGAAAGCTGGACAGTGAAGAAAAATGACCAAAAGAAAATTGATGCATTCAAAGTATGGTGTTGGAGGGAGAGCCTTGTGAATAAACAGGACTGATTGAAAGACAAACATTTGAGTTCTAGATCAGATAAAATGAGAACTTTCCCCAGAAGCAGAAATGACAAAACTGAAGCTGTCATACTTTGGGCACATCATGAGAAGCTAAGGCCCACTGGAGAAGACAATCATGCTAAGAAAAGTTGGAGACAGAAGAAGAAAAGGAAGATGAACTATGAGATGAATTGACTCCATAAAGGAAGCCACAGTCATGAAGTTGCAGGTGCTGAGCAGAACTCTGTTCCAGCTATTCTGATTTCAGAATGTATCCGGTGATATTGAGATTCCTCATAAGAAATGTTTACTTCTTCAGGACAGTAGGACACAATTACATTTTGTCTGATACCTGCCCTACCAATATGGCATATCCAGTTTTGGCTATGAGGGCACTGGTAAAGAAGGAGTCTCTCAGAAAAAACAATCACATGTCATTATAACATTCTCTGCAAGATAAACGTTTTTTCTGTATTTGCCCTGTCAAAAATACTATTTTTGTCCCATTTACTCCAGAGGTGACATTGCTTGATTGAAATGCTAACCATTTCTAATTCATTACAGCTAATTTTAATCAAAGATGTTGTGATCTAAGGGCTAACATACTTGTGTCTTAGCATTTATTGGTTCTGCTAGGTTAGTAGAATGAAAAAAAAGTATTGAAAGCAGCCATTCCTTCTGTGAATTCACCGTTGTGTTTATTAAATGAAGTTATTTTATATTTCCATTAGTACTTCCAAATGCATCAAAAGTGAGTTTTATAATAGGCACATTTAATCAATGAATAAGATTAACTAACTAAACATTCATAATTCATTTACAGTCACAGCATTTTACATATATGTCTGTTTGCTTGCAGAGTGGGTGTTCGTAGGATTGGTGATCCTAGGTGCCTTCCTCTTCTTTCTACTGGTTGGGATCTGCTGGTGCCAGTGCTGTCCTCATAGCTGCTGCTGTTATGTCCGTTGCCCTTGCTGCCCAGATACTTGCTGCTGTCCACGGGCATGTGAGTTACTAGTTCCAAAGGGAATGACAGCATTTTGGGATGTGATGGAAAGGTTGCATTAGCCTTTTTCAAGAACTTCCTAAATGTTGAAGGCTGGAGGCTTCATGTAGTTCATGAGCTGTTCATCTCTGCCACTCTTTGATTTAGGCACATTCCACCCCTCCCCCCCCCGTCCTCCAACAATAGTCATCTTTGGGGTGACTACAAAGCAAATTGACCTCAATTCAGCTGTAGCTATTTTAGTTGTATTTAACATGAATAGGTTCCGGATAGGAGGAGTCAGCTGCTTTGCATGCAGAAAGTCCCTCCCAGTTTCAGTCTTTGGTAGCTCCAGGTAGGGCTAGAAAGGAATCTTGACTGAAGTCTTGGAGAGCTACTTCCAGTCAGTGTCAACAATATTGGTCAGGATGGACCAGTCATATGATTCAGTAGAGGAAGCTTCCTCTGTTCCTCTCTTGAGGCTGGGCAATGAGCTCTGATAATGCTTTAGAAGAGATTTTCCCAGTTATATATCATGAACATCCTTTCCTGCTGGCCTTTGCAAAAAAGACAGAAAACATAATGGCTATTTAGGACTTCAGGGAGTAAAATGAGAAAAGTCTGTTCTGTTTGTACTGCTCTTACGGGATTGGAGAGTTGCTGTAGCTTGGAGGGACTGGGTGTCTGGATTGTATGAGGTGGAGCACATCCCATTAGTGTAGTTCCATGATTGGATAAAACCTACAGTTTCCACTGAAAGCTTTCAAAAGTGTTCAAGTACTTAATAGTGGATGTTTTTAAAATGTATGTGAACTGCTTCAATCCATAGTAGAAGCTGGATGTACGTATTTTAAATGCTTTTACGTCAAAAGACATGTCCAGGAACTTAAATAGGGACTGGATGACTACATCAATCTGGATAACATGCAGTTAGATTCACATGGAAATCGACAGTGTTGGCATGTATATAAGTCACCTTCTGCACATAGACCTTGCTGCATCAGGGAAACTACGTTATGAAAAAGATCAGACATATGAATGACAGCACAAATTTGTATCTCTTATTGTTGTGAGCAGTAAAGTCCCATTATGACATAAACTGGACTCTCTGGTCATCTAACCATAGGCCTTTTATGCAAGCTTGAGGCAGCCAATGGAATTAAAAGTGAATAGCTATGAAGCTAAAAGAGAAATGAAGCAATTTATTTACATGAAGAGCACTGCTGGGCAATTTCTCTCAAATTCTGTTTATGCTTTGCATTTGTTCACTCAGTGGACTTTTTTTTAAATAAATAAATACAATAGGTTTTTTGCATAAATAAACCAGCTTTGAAAACCTTATTATGACTCCAACTTGATTTTGCTGCTGGAGTGCTATATAAACTAACGTAGCTATGAAAACAATTCTAATACCTCCGGGTGAGATTGTTAGTTTAAAATAAGTTCCACATCATTTGACTCCAAAGGCTGGTGTAGACACACCCTTGGACAAATCAGTTGGCTCTTTCAATTTCTATTAACTAAGTCCTCATTTCTAAGGGCAAGATAGCTGCAAACTGCAAACCGCCAGTTACTTACTGCTTTTTGTTTTTTGTTTTTTTCAGTGTATGAAGCGGGAAAGGCTGCAAAGGCTGGATATCCTCCAGCAGTAACAGCAATCCCTGGACCTTACTACATTCCCACTGGCCCTGTGGGTGGAGTCCACCCTCATGCTGTCCTGATGGACAAGTCACACCTTCCTCCCTTAGCACCAAGTGAATCCAGCGCAGGAAGTCAAAGCGGTAATTTGAAGACTTTCAGCAGCCTTTTTGATTGCTTGTCATAATATCTGAAGCCTTAGTACAAGGCAGAGCTAAATTCTGCATGCAGGAAGTGTGTATTATTAATCTTGGTTGCAAGATTAGGAAAGGATGTTAGTTCCAGAAAAATAAGGTACAGGTTTTGGTAGTTATTTTCACTGTAGGCTTTGCTTTTTGCTTCCATGTATTGTAAAATCAATGGGTCAGATGCCACTTCGCAACTAACAACAACATTGTAAAATCACCCTGAGTGTGTCTTTATGTCAGGCTGATTTAGGATATGTCATTCTGAATGGTAGCTTCCTGTATTACTGGTGATATTCAGCTTAAGTTGAATAAAGAAGGTGACACTGCAAAAAGAGCTATGAAGGCATGCTACAATCCCTTTAGAGTCCATCCACAGGAATGTGCTGTATGGTGTAACCACATCATTCCAGTCTACATGTTTTTCTTGCAAAGACTGGCACAGGTGTTGGTGTAGAGCCCATATACATTGTCATTTTGTGAATCTGTTTAGCTCAGAGCCAAATACTTGCAATTGGCCATATTTTTCTTTTTCCTCTCCAGCTGACATGAAAGGTCATCACATATGAGAAACATAACATATGAGATGAAAAGTACTGCACCAACTTCTTAGCAGGGACTTATAAATTGCACATAGATCTCACCTTGCCCTTATCTACAACTCTACAGTATTTTTTATTTTGTGACTTAATTGGGGGTTGCATTTGAGAGCATGCTTTATTGTGGTGCTCATTATGTTCTGAAGGACTTATGCAAATAGTTTTGTTTCTGTATTTCTCCTACATCTCCTTTCATATTAATAGTTTTATATTAATAGCTTCTTTTATATTTTCTATTATGGAGATAATATAAAAATGTGTAAATTCACACAATTATGCAAATTTAAAACAAGATATCTTTCCTCCCCCCACCCCGCCCTTGTCTCCCTCTGTTTGGTACATGATGCTTTTGTCTAGAATATTTTTAGACTGTTCTGTTTTAGAAGGGAAATATGCACTTTTTCAAACTAGCAGAGTTTTTAGTTTGATCTCAGCATAACTTGCACAAATTTCTGTATGCCTTCAATGTAGACTCGAGTATGTCATCAATACTTTGAATCAGAACTTGTGAGATTATGAAAAACCAACCCCTCCCCCCAAAAAACCATTTTACATATGCAAGACTTAAGGGTCCAATCAGGTGCATATTACTTTAGAATAAATGTAGTTGGACTCAGTGGGACACTTCCAAGTAAGCCTATTTGGAATCACATGAAATTCTATTTTGACTACAATTGATAGTTATTGGAAAACACTTGTGCCATTATCTGCGGAATTGCATAGTGTTTTAAGATCAAAAACTTGTGCCACTAAGTCCTGAAACTGCAGATGGCATTTTGGTGGAAGAAATCTAATTGCTAATAGTCACAAACTTGACTTTTACCATAGTGCTGCATTGAGATGACATTAGTGAAAAATTAATTAATTACCATGCACTGGCAATACAGCTTTTGCATCCTTGTGTTTGTGTATTGACCTTTGGAAGGATCCTGGAAAAGTCATGCATTAAATAATCAGTGCATTTTAATTCTTCCTTCACTCAAAATAAGAATGGATGAGCTAATGAGAACTGCTAAAACATTTTTTCATTGTTAATGAAAGATCTAGAGGAGAGCATTTAGGAGTGAAAAATCATCAAATAGCCCAAAGCAGAACTGTATCCATTGGAAAAAAACAAAAACCATAAACCCAACATTTTGGACCACAGACCTTGTATGTGCGTTTTTAAATGTCACTGCACAGAACATCTACTGTAGTCCTCAGTTTCCTTTAACTCTAACCCAGTGATTTGATCTGGTGTTGGCACTGTTTCTCAGTTGCCATACACTGAAGTTTGCTATAAACCAGACCAATAGTAAGAGATGATGAGAGGGCCAAACATTACTAATTTCTATCTTAGCACACAGAATATGGGGAAACTGACATTCACTGATTGTATCTTTAGAAGGCCAGGTACTGAAGATGAAACTCAAATACTTTGGCCACCTAATGAGAAGGAAGGACTCACTGGAGAAGAGCCAAATGCTGGGAACAATAGATGGCAAAAGAAGAAGGGAACGGCAGAGAATGAGGTGGCTAGATGGAGTCACTGAAGCAGTCAGCGTGAGCTTAAGTGGACTCCGGGGGATGGTGGAGGACAGGAAGGCCTGGAGGAAAGTTGTCCATCAGGTCGCGATGGGTCAGATGCGACTTCGCAACTAACAACAACAACAACATCCAAATGGAGTATATCTCACATTTTATAGTTAAATCTATTAAAGGTCTATTTATTTCAGTGCAAAGGAATGTAATAACTCTTCCACTGAAATCAGTAAAGCGTAGAAGTGTATAAGTTTGTCAAAATTATGGTTTACAGCAGGTATGGGCATCCTAGTAACTTCAAGGTGTTTTGGGCTACAACTCCCATAAGTCCCTGGCCAATGGTTGCAGAGCTTGCAAGTTGTAGTCCAAAACATCTGGAGGACACAATATTGTTTACCTGTTTCCTACGGATTTTAAGTCAACAGAAGATTTTTTTCTTCCTAGCTCTCAGAAACCCATGAAGCATCATTATTTGATACTTAAAATGGATATCTGGATATGCCAAGAATCCTTAGATAAATAATAAGGCAGAAGTTGAGAAAGCCCAAACAGGGCACATAAAAGTTTATAAAGAAGTATATTGACCAATCCCTTTTTTTTCCCAACAGTGCGCAAAGGCTATCGGATCCAGGCTGACAAAGACAGAGATTCTATGAAGGTGTTATATTATGTTGAGAAAGAATTGGCTCAGTTTGACCCTGCCCGGAGGATGCGAGAGAGATGTGAGAAAACAGATCAGCTATTTTGAGAAACAGCCAACATAGTGTGACTTATAATACAATGTAATTTTAACCCAAACCTATTTGCTACTCAACCTGTTTCTTAAGTAATGGTTCTTGCAGTAACTGGTTCACACATAATTGCCATAGTAGGTTGTCATGTTGTATGAACCCTGTTTCCATCCTAAGCTTCAAAAGTACCCACTAGGAACTTTTCCAGCAGTATTTGGCACAGTTAATGCAAGCTTAATTCACACTAGGCTGGTAAATCCCTGTCTAGGTATTATTGTGTCATGTGCTGTAGGCTGGGGTACATGTGATAGAATGCTTCCTTCACATGGGAAAAAAATAGTTCTTTTCCACAGAATGCTATCATGCATGAAAAACTAAGAACTTTCCTCTGACATCAAGTTTTCTACATTTTTTACTCTGAAGAAGTATGGTGACTGTCTACATGCAGTATGGACTATTAAAGTCTGAACACAGGTGCATTACTTCAGTGATAATTTTAATTTAATTTATTTGTTCATTAGATTGTCTTAAAATTAAGACAGTTCCCTATTTATGGCCTAGATAATAATTTGTAAGTCTTGTAAGTTAAAACTATGCTTAATCTGCTCTTTATTTCAAAAACAATATATAATATGATCAAAGATGTTCCTGCTCCAAGCCAAAAGTAAATGCATACATCCCAATCCAAAATTTGTATCAGAGAAACCCGTATTTGATATAAAAATATTTCAATGCTCTGTTCAAAAATAAGAATGAAAATCTGAAAGTAGGGCACCATATGATTTCTGAATGCTAGCTTTCCTTCATACTTCAGCCCCAATAGGGACATCCATGGACCAAAATGTGTTACTGCTTGTACATCTTACTTACAGGTTTGGGTATTAGTATTAAGGTATGAAAAATGTGCCTTATACATTATACAGAAAAGTTGTTGATGTGAACATAGAGTACTTAGACCACAATCCAGAACCATGCATCTTCCTGAACATTGGGTCATCTACACCTGGAGTAGACAGTATGACAGACTCAGAAGCAAGATTGTGAAACAGCATTTGAATAATTTTAAATAAAAAAAAAAATACTTCTTTGGGAATAGCAGGTAAAATGTAGGATGTACCGTTTGGGTGGTGAGCTTGTACCTGGAGAAGCTTTCTGTGTTTTTCTTGTGCTGCTTACAGACTAGAATGCTAGTGCCAGTCTATCTTCTTTTACTGAAAATATTCCTTAACATTCTACAGTGTTGGTGGTATACAAAGATCCCTGGAGTTTTTAACCCTGTTGCTCAAGCATGTTTTCTCCTTGTCTTTAAATACATTTTACAGGCATACTGGCCAATGAATCAAACACTCATTCAGTTGTCTGCCTTCTTTCCCCTACCCCTCCAATTTTTCAAGTAAGAAGTTCTTTCCTTTATTTTTAAAGCACCACATGCACATTTATTCAATGCAAAACATTCATTGTCCCCCACTATTTTAAAAATGTAGACTCAATTTTTAAAATATAGGGAAAGTGTTTTAGGAAGGAGGTAAGTTTAGTGATGTGATCAGTTTAAAGCCAACCAGCACTGAGAACAATTGAATCAACATACTTATTTTGAGTTCAGTGTTAGAAAGAAGTACATCTAAACAAACATGTTGTGTTTCCACAGAGGGCTAACCTCACACCTTATGTTTGTCTCTACACATCCATCAATTTTTGTGAAATAGGACAGGAAATAGAGCTCTGCATATTGAGGTAGTCCAAGGGAATGAGTCATCTAGTCCATTCAGATACAGTGAATACAGATATCTCGGGGGCCCTCTATTTTTAGCATGCACATTCAATAGATCCAAAGTGCCAGCAGGTCCTGGCAGTCACAGACACACAATCTGCCTCAATCAATTGACAGACAAACTCAAGGGATGACTTTAATCACAGCTTTGAGAAAAACTAACAAATTACATGGTGTTCTATAAAAGTCATCACTGAACATGCTGCCATTTCCACCCACAAGAAAAACTATAAAAAGTCTTCCTCCAGATTGGAATGTCTAGGATTCAGACGTCACTGCATGCTATAGAGTAGGCAATGAGGGTGATGGGAGGAAAAGAACAAGTCATTTTAAAAAGTTAAGCTGGATTAATCATACAGACCTTGTCTGCATGATTAATCCAATCATGCAGGCTGAAAGAATGAGGCTGAAACCCACCTTGGTCTGTTTCTCTCAGGTTTTATTTCTGTAGAAGAGTGCCTATGAAAGAGTGCATGTGAAAAAGTTTGTGTAGTAATACAAGGATCATATGAGTTTTGCATTCCTATTCTGCAGCTCAGAATTCATAGAGCACATATGTAGGGGCATGCAAGGGCTTGAGCATGCCCCACAAAAGGTTTTTTTTTCTTCTTTTGACCAGCAAACCCACATGTCATAACACAAATTGCTTTTGCGTTTTCTTTACTGTGGAACTGATGTTTGAGAAATATGAATGAAAACTTCCCTTGGTCACATGGATATATTTCCTATGTCCTTGGGTCTACCTCTGTTCTGGGATTGTTGTTGTTGTTTTTACTACTTTGTTGATGTATACTCCATGGCTCCACATTGATGCATTGATTAGTCTTAATTGAAATTGTTCAATCTTGCCTGTATATCTCACCAGGAAGTGGAAGGAAATGGTATCTGCCTTGCTCTGATAATTAAACCCACATTTCTGATAAGATTTTTCCTTCTTATTCAGAGAGCTACACTGATCATCTGAATGACAAGTCCTGCCACCATTTGTATAACTTCACTCGCTTCATTCATACATGTCATATTTATTTTCATAAGAAAATACATAGATAATTTCCATACAGAAAGAGTCTTACAGCTAGAAAACCTGTTATGAAATTTCTAGTCTTTCTTGGGAGACTCCTTTGTGTGATTTAATTCCTTTCTAATACAACAAGAAAGGTTTCCAACTGTCCCTAAGTACAGATTGCTTTAATTTTCCCAGTCTTTTATCTTCACTGAAGTTTATCCTCATTTCTATGCTTTTTTTCTGTCTCAGACAATAACACCATATCAGAGCTCAGTTCCCTACATGAGGGAGATGCCAGTTTCCGCCAGCCTTACCGCCAGGTGCGCAGAAAAGCTCTTCCTCCTTCAGGAGATATGGATGGTGATGCAGAATACTGGGCAGGGGTCGTCAGCGGAGGTGGCACATCCAGGCCTCAGACGTGCTCTGATTATAGGGAAGAGAGGGGCAGCTTCAGGTTCAGGTAAGTGCCATACCAGCGAGATTGCAGAAATGGGATGAAAAAATGCCTCTCCGCCACTTTTGCTTCTTTGCATGTCTGATTAGCAAGTGGGAAAGGTGCTCAGAGGGCAGTCACATCAACAATTGACTGTTGTGATTGTTTTAAACAGGAGGGGTCCTCCCTTTCCAATATGTGAAAGCTGGTAGGGCCCACTCATTTCCTGCTGCAGCCTAGATGATCAGATGGACTGTGAGGAGTGTAGATATTTCTCCCAAGATTACTTTTTTCTGGCTCCTAATAGTGGCATTAAAGCAGAAATCTCAGTGGCAATTGCTTGGGAATGGGAAAAGCCTTTACCTCCATGCCCTCCCAATGATGCCTATATCTCTAAGGGCAGGGAGTGGAGAGATGTGGGCAGGGGGAGAGAGAGAGAGAGTGTCCCCAGCTCACTCCAGATGTGGTCAGGTGCAAAACAGATGTGTATCTGTTGTGTAACTTGCTTAAAATGATGGTTCTTCAGACCAATCAAAGGCACCCATTAAGGACTGAATTGAGTGTACCAATCTATTCACACCATAAGTGCCAACACTGGAATAAGGTAAGTTGCTACTATTTGCTTTGAATATGGGAAGAATTGAAGTCTGAGTGGCAGTGTCTTATCAGAGGGACAGTCTTCTTCAGGATTCCATCAGTGCTTTCCTTTTGTACAGTTGGCAGGCCATGTCACACAGTGCATTTGTCACTCCATTTACACATAAGGGGAAGCTGCATTTTGCTCTCCGATTATGTGTTTACCTGCAAGACACATGGGCAGATCAGCAAATTTGGTATCTGGAAAATATGGATCATTTTCCTTTTCATCAAATCAGCACCTGATTTATTTTATATAAAAACTACTTCTATAAACTATATTTATTTTATATAAAAACTGCAACAGCAGGGGGTTGGACCTGATGGCCTTCAAGGCCCCTTCCAACTCTGTTATTCTATGATTCTATAATTTGGACACTGCCTTTTAGATAGAAGGCCAAAGGTGAAGACCATAGGACAATTATCTGAATAGTAAGTTAATAGCTGTGTCCGTCTGTGTACTGAGGTCTAGTACAACACTCTGGAACACAGATATTAGAGTCTGTGGATCAACCCTGTGGTTTGTCCAGGGCAGTAGGGCAGGGACATTGGGTCATTGGTGGAGCATACGCTTTTTCTGCAGAAGTTCTCAGGTTCAGTCCCTGGCTCACTACTTCAAAAGAGTTAGATATCTGGTTAGAGGCAAGACCTCTGCCTGAGATGTCAGAAAGTCACAGCCAGCCAGAGTAGACACTACTGAACCAGACCTGATATAAAACAGCTTCCTACATTCTAGAGTTGGATGTGTCAGTTCTGAGAATCAGTTTTCTCTGATGGATCTCAGTTCTGCTTTTTCTAGGAAAGACAGGGAGAAGGAAAATATGGGGCTGCTGGTATCTGTTATTCAGGTAGTCACCTGGAGCTTATTATCTATTCACCCTGGCTTGAACAGACTAATGGCAGATTACAAATTGGTTTACTGATTTAAAATAAATGTAAAGGCATCTTTTCCTTGTCTCCCACAGCCAACAGAGATCAAAGTCAGAAATGCTCTCAAGGAAAAGTTTCTCAATGGGAGTGCCAGCTGTTTCCATGGATGAACTTGCAGCCTTTGCTGAGTCCTACAGTCAGCATGTTCGCCGGACAGAGGGTAGTCAGGAACCCCGACATTTTGAGAGATCAGGATCACGAGGAGCACGTGGAGGGCCAGTACAGCAGCTAGACAAGTCAGATGAGTATTATGGCAAACGCAGGGGAGGAAACCGTGAGCCATTGACAGATTCAGATCGGGGCTGGACCTATAGCCCACCCAGGAGACGAAACCATGAGGAAAAACTGCCTAGGCTAGTGTGTCGGACACCTGGAGGGAGTCAGAAGTATGATCACTCTTACCTCACCAATGCCCTTGAGAGGAAATCACAAAGCTATGATGAAGGTGGTGAGCATAGTGAGACACCTTCTAAGCTTAGCTCACAATCCAGCCAAAGAGGAGGAACATACTATGCTTGGTCACCACCATCCACCTACAAAGCAGGGCAGAAGCAGCAGCAGCAGCAGCAGCAGCAATCTCCACAACAAGAGGAAGAAGACTCTCTGCCACCATACAGTGAGATAGAATTGGGCCGGGGGCCTTCATACAGAAGCAGAGAACAATCTAACCTCAATGCCTCAGATAAGAAGAGGAAAAAAGAACCCAAAAAACCAGTAAGGCCATGTCTGACCCTCCTGATCTGAATGGGCTGAACAGGGAACATAAGGCAGGGTAGTTGGCATCTGGGGTATTGGTGCACCTTGGCACCACTTCTTTCTAAATAGCTTGCACTCTGGTTCTGATAGCCAAACTGCAAATTGGAAAAAGATACTTCCAAGTGTTTTTTTCCAGGAAAATCTAACATTATAGACACCTGCACTGTAAAATAGGTTTTGGAACCCAAAATATCTCATAAAAAGTGGGCACCATTCAGATAGGAAGGGGAGGGCAGAGAGGAATCTCTGCAGCAGAATGTCTTTGGCTCAAAGCAGATAATCAAGGATCAATCAAAATAAACCTATATTCATTAAATGGTAAATTAATGTTAAGTAATTAAGTGGAAACAGGAATTGCCTATATGTAATCCTAGTTATTTGAGTAGAACATTTTTCTTTAGCATTCTAAGATTTAAAGTATGTCCTTACAGCTTTCATGTGAGACAATGCTTGAAAGGGGTATCTATTTTTCAGCAGGTGGGTCAGCTGTCATAAAAGGAACTTAAGGGAAGGGAGAGTGCTTCCATAAGATATTTTACTGAAGCAGTCTTGAGTCAATGACATTTTTTTCTTTCTTAAAGACTTGTGGTTTCTCTCAGCTTGAGGGACCCAAGGTGCATCTGCAGTCTTTGATATTCCATTGATGAGCTCCATTATTTACCAAGACTAGAAGTTGCAGTTTGCAATTATGTTTCATTAGAAAATTGCCCACTGATCACTGAAGAAGAGGATGCACCTTCACAAGAACTAGCCATGAAAAAGTGCTGGGCTGAGAACAAAGTATGGAATAGAAGTATATACATGATCCAAGAAAAATTAGGTGGTGCTCTTGTCCTACCTAAGCATATTGACTTGATTAATTGAAAAGTGATGGGAAAAAAAAGACCAAGTGACAGCCTACACTGTTTAGAAAGAGATTTCTTAGTCTGTAAGGAATGCCATCAGATTACTTAGTTTCCACTGAGGTTCTGTGGTGACCAGCCTTCTGATCACTCAATACAAAATTCAGGCTACGATTTTGCTTCCCTAAAAGCATTCTAGGAGTGGCTTGCAAAACTGCAGTTTGTGTTCATGATAAAATGCTCAGATGTACAGTTACCATGGGCATGTTTTGAACCTGGAATGAAAAGGTGCCTCCAAACAGACTTCTAGAAGCTTTATATGTGAAGTGGTCCTTCATGTTGAGGTTATGGGATTTGTGGATGGGTGGATCAAGGTGGAAAGGCATGATTAAAGTATGTGGGGAGGCTTCCACCCTGATTAGGAGATTACTTATTCCCTCTTGCCTGAAAGCAGATGCCAAATGTCCACTTCTGTTCCAGGTTGTATTTTCTCTTCATGCTCTAAAAGATGCAATTTTATGTTTTACAATTTTTGCTTCTCTTTTCCTCAGAATGAGTTCCCAACAAGGATGTCCCTTGTGGTGTGATGTTACAGTAGAAGACTTGTGTTAATGGACTGAGAAAGCAGAAGCAGTCATAGTGTGAAGCCACACAAGCTTCAATGAATATGTGCTGCCACCAGATATATTCAGACTTCTCTGTTTCATCATGGGAATTGAGGTCTTATGTGGAGGCTAATTCTAACCAATTGCTCTCATCCAGTTAACCCCTTAAAAGGGACAGCTCATTCCACCAGGAAATGAAACACAGCAAATGTTCTTTGCCAAGCTCATCCTTCAATTTCTTTCCACAAAGGCCATTGATGGCCAGTTTCCTTTTATTGACAATATTAGTGGAGCTACTTTTTTGTATAATAAGTATTCCATCTCCCACATGTCATTTTTTTCCTCTACTGCTTTGCATCTTACATAGGGCAGGAAGAGTTGCAACAGTTTTGGAGATGGTCACAATTTGCTGTCTTTCATGTTGAGAGAAAGAAGGACTTCATATAATGCTTAAAGGCTGATTCAGAATAAGAGTAAACTTTGCAAGAAAACCGTAAATGGAATTCTTCATCCTTTGAAAATGACCCAAATTGAGACCTGGGCACTACGCTAAGAAGGTCAGGGTAGAATCAACATTGTGGACTTCTTTTTTTAAATGTCCTGCTCATTCTGTAATGGGAGCTGCCAGTGAGATTAATGTTTTGTTTTGAAAGTGAAACTCAGTAGATTTTGCTATAATGAGAATGTGCCATGTTATTTCATTGTTGTCTGATATGATGTATCAGCATTGCCTTATAGTTGAACTATAGCCATAAAAGGCTGCAGCTGGGACTGCTGATTGGCCCTATCATAAGCAGAGCTCAAGCTCTGGTTCTGCTGATGCTACTCTCTGGACAATGACTATATCTTTTTAAAGCTAATCAGTATAAAACAACAGGGCTAGAATGAGAAGATCAGGGTGCAAGAGAAAAAAAAGCCATTGTTTTTATTCGTCTATAAGGACCAATATTACTCTTTTCTGGCTGAAGCCATTCAACAAGGCAAAATAAAATAAAATCTGAACAATAAATATGTTGGGTGAAGCATCACCTTTCAAACTTACTTCATTGTTCCCAGTTTTTCTTTCAAACTGTTAGTAGCTGATGCAGGGTGTTCTGTAAATCATCCCCAAGAGGATAGGATTAGCAGCAATGAAGAATCTTTTTGTTCAGTTTTAAACTGAGGGAAAACAACAGTCTTTCCTGCTTTGTTTGGGAGGATAACTTGAATCTGATGCATGAGCATCTTAAGCATCATAACTAATTGAATGGCTTTGGTTTCTATTATGAAATTTAAATATTTTCTTGAACAGGCAGCTGCTTACTAAGCTTCAACAAGATAAGATGCTTCAAAATCAGCAGGAATGCACAAAAAAACCCCACAAAAACAAATAACAAAAATTAGTTTGCTGTAAAAAAAAAAGAAAAGTGAATAACATAACCACTTAATGATGATGAACTCTTGTACACTGAAGCTCAGTCACTAACAATCTATTTCCATCTGTGCTGGTAATAGTCTACTTCCATCCACACAACAGAGTTTTAGATTTTTAAAGCAAAAATTGAATAGCAGAATTGTATACATAAATGAAATACTATATACTCAGATAGAGAAGACTAATTCTAGCAGCTGTTTCCCCCCTTGTGTCTGTGTAGTTGTGCCTTCTTTATGGTGAAGTGCCAAAACCATTCACCCAAAATATCCCAGTAACCTCTTGATATTCTTAGTGAAATTCTGGATGCATCTTGCAAGCCTCGGTACCACTCCAAATAATCCAGTTCCTGTTAATAGTAGCAGAGCCAATGGAGTGATAAAAAGAGGATGTGGCCCTTCTCCAGGGCATCACATAAAGACAGACATAGCCATTTTTCTTGCTGCACCACTATTGCAGATTTGTTGCAGCTTTGCAACCTCCAAGTCATAAAAAGTTGGCCATACAGCTCTCTGGCCAGTGAAGCACTAAGTGACCATCCAAAAGTCTGTAAGTAGCCAGACTCTCTCCTGACCCCTGGAGGTAACAGAGGGACACCCTGTACAACAGAAGTGGGAAGAATTTTGGCTTTAAGCATCTATTTACTTTTTTTAACTTGCTACAACCTAGATTTCACCACTCAGTTTGGTGCAGAAGGCAAACATTTAAAATTAAAGGATTTTGAGTGCAGGAATTTGTTTTGAGTATCAAAAATGAACAGAGCAACAGTCTTTGCACACAAAAATCCACACCTGCTTATCCACACTGTCTTCATTTCAGCAACACACAATTTAGAGCAGGAACAGAGTAATTTGGTTGCTGTAATAGTTAAACAATTGCTGATTTACTGTAAATCTCCAAGAGATCTACTAATCTGAACTCCTTTCTTGTGATAAAGTCCTCTAATGGGCAGCTTCATCATGCTGTCCTGATTTAGGTCTTATATAAATGGTATCATCTGGGATTTTTCTAGAGCAGGGATAGCCAACTTCCTTGGCCCTATGATTTCACACTTTGCAGTCCATGCTGCTTCAGGACAGGACTTGCCTGGCCTTGAGATTGCCCATCTTCACATCACTAATGAGATGATGGTCTATGCATTTTAGTGGTGACACAGAAACCTTTGGGATGACTTCTTTAGCATGGGCAAAAGAAGGTACTTCTTTAATGCTAGCCAGCAGGGAAACATGAAAGCAGAGTTGCTTTTGCCTGAGCTATTGCACTGTCAGGTATGTGTGAGGGGAAGGAAAAGCAATACATAGCTCCATACTGACAAGAGCCCCTGTGCAAGCCCAGTTAGTGGAAAAGCCTGCTTATAAAAATAAAGCCTAACTTCAGTTTAGGCTTCATTTTTTAGGGCTATAGACAAATTCACAAACTAAAACTCTGAAATAGAGCAATACCAGTCCAGCTAATCAGTTTTAAAACACACGTGCACACAAAGGAACTTAGCCTTCCAAACTACATTCTTTGCTCTCCACTCTAATGTCCCATTAACTATTGCACTCTCCACTGAATAAAATATTCCCAGGCTAGACAGTTAATCTACATTTCCAAATGTTGGAAACTAGGACAGATAATGATTTTGGCCACAGCCTCCTTTGCTTTTCAAAGGCCTCCAGTCAGATTGGTTGCAGCAGCAGTTGGGTTAACCTACCTAGAGTTATATAAGAAGAGATATAAAGAAGCCAGTTTTGCAAGTGTAAGGAACCCCAGTTGGGAAGCATCTCAGCCTCAGTGACAAACCATCAGTCCGTAAGTGAGTTCAGCTACAAGTCAAGTATGCCAGAGCAGAGAACTCTCTCCTCCCTTCTCATAGTGTAAACTGTAGATTAACAACTAAAAGAGTATATTCACCAACTTCTCCCAGTAGAAAACCAAGAACACCCCTCCTGTAGTGAACATATGTTCCCTTTCCTGTTCTCCAGCAGACTCAAATGAAACTTTAGAACCATAACACTTCTATAGTATATATGGTTTAAACTGAAGTAGCATTCTCCTTGAGATGTGGGAGAAGCATCTGCCTATGTAAAGAGCTGAATCCAGATTGAAACCTCCCTTTACCCTCCCTTTCAGAAAAGCTTCTGACTTCACCCTAAGGTGGCTCCTTCTTGAGGGCTGGATGGTGGGAATACCAGACACTTCTTAATTGGTCTGTTCACTTCACCTGTCATCTCATCCCCCCTTGTGAAATGTCTCCCTTTTTCCAAGGTTCTCAAGCTCTGTCTGAGCATCTTCATTAGGTACCTTTGAAACTACAAAGTCATCTGCCTTCTCTCTGCCCTTCTGCCGCCACCTCAGGATCAGAGAATCTATCTGAGCAGCCTGTGACATGCAAGAAGTGGGCCCTCTCTCTACACTTCCTGCTAAGTTTTCCAGATAAACAAACTGAGGCTGGGGCTTAGGAGCTCTAGGATCTGGCCCCTACTCAGCCATGAAGTTCAGTTGGTCACTTTGGGCCATTTGCAGACTTTCAGCTCAGCTTACCTCACAGGTTTTTATTGTGAGGACAAAAGAGAGAGGAGAACATTGTAAGCTGCCTCGGGTTCCTTGAAAGAGGAAGCAAGGTGGGGTGTAAATGTAACATAACAAAATAATAATTCTGTTATGAAGGTAGAAAGCCAGCAGGGGTGTGGAGGCTATCCAGTGTATTGCTTTGAGTGTCACAAGTATGACTATCTGCTAATCAGAGGTTGCGGGTGTGTGCACAGTATGATGAGCTTCTGCCTGTCAGGGAACAAGTTTGTTCCCTTTGATCTTAAAAAGCAAAGAGATGCAGGCATGTTAGTGACAAGACCTTTGGGGCCAAATAGTAAGGTTCCAATTCCTGGGTGACAGTCCCTCTGCTGTCATGGAAAATGTGGGGCTTGGGAAGGAAGGTATCATTCCAAGGAAGAGGGAAATATGATGCTGGAATTTCCCTGCAGCTAAATAGGTCTGCAGCTTGTTAGTGATTTAATAAGATAATAAGTGTGCTGCCATGAGTTCCATCATGGAAGAAATGTAGAAGCTAAATATAGCCTTTAAAATACTTGTCATTTATTTTCCAGCAGATTCCTAATCCTACTTAATCTCCTGCTGCAGAGTCTGTCCACAACATGGCTGTGCACTACAATCCTAGAACTTCATGAAAAATAAATCATGGATTTGTGGTCCTTTAGTCATAGAAGTTTGCAGGCCCTTTACATGATGCCATTCTCCAGGGCCTCTCCCATGTTTCCCAGTCATCTTTGCAGCTTGGTGAAGAAGTAGGAATGTCAGTTATTTCCTGTTGTGCTTGGAAACACTACAACATGGCCCTTTCTTTTCTTTTTTTGCAAGCTGCAGTGCCACCTTATGGTTGTATAGTAGAGACAAAGAAAACCTCCAGGAAAAAAGTGTAAAAGACATGCTTTACAAACAAAAATCCTACAAACAATACTGCAGAAACTGCCTCAATAAAGCAATATGTTAAATGCCTAACATAGGAATAGCCCTTGTTTTCTATTTGTGCCCACAAATAGCCTGATCATAAGCAGCATTCTTCCATTATAGCCCAGGTGTGATGAATCCTGTCATATTGCAGGAGATACTCTTTATTACTGCAGTATAAAATTATGTGAAACATCTTTACTTTGAACATTTTGCTTAAATGTTTAAAGCATATTGGTGAGAAAGACATTTAGGGCACAGTCTAATGCAAGTTAGACAGAAAAAGGTCTAAAATTCCCAGAGAGCTGTTTTCTGTCAAGGAATTGTCATTTAGCATGGGAACAAATACTTCATGTGCACTGGCTTCATTGCACCTGGTGAAATGAGGGCTTTTTTGCATTCTCTGCAAACTCAGATATCACATGTAATACATTCTTGAGATAAGAGCACCATCTCATGGACATGGGACATCCATTTAAATTGCCTTTAGTGCTATGGAAGTACAAGTTTCGTTACAGTCTTAGATCTGCCTACTTGAAAGGAAATCCCTTTGAAATTAGGGGGCATACTGGTAAGTAAATACATCATTTGGATCAGGCCAAAAGTCAACACCTTTGTATTGCTTTTTAGAGATGGAGTTTTAAAATAAGATCTTATTTTCTTCTTTCTGTCCTTTGTTGCTTAGAAACACTATGTCGTTTCTTACTAATGTGTTTCTGAAGACTGGTGGAAGTGCTGAGATAATTGTTACAGGATTCTGGAGTGGCTTAAGAGCTAGTTCTGACAATGCAAAAAGCATTCCATTGCAAGGTGGGGTAAATTACTGCCATCCATAGTATTGGAAAATAATATCCAAGTGAAAGACATTGATTACTGGTGTTTGTGATAACCCTTTGTATGGTATTGACAATAACACTGGATGATGGTGGTGTGTGCTTAGTCTCCACTCTGTTCCTTTATATCCCCTGATGTTTGAAAGTCCTTATCACAGAGCCAAATTGTGTGTTACATAATCACAGTGTGTTGATGCATGCTAGCTTTTTCTGTAGTATAGGCACATGCAGACTCAAGTTGAACTGGGACCACTGCATATTGGAAAAGAAGTAAGTCTCCTCTTCATTTGCTTCCTAAAAAAAAATCTT